TTCTCACTCTCGGCTGTATCAAGGCATTCGGGGGCGTCCATGAAGCTGATGTAGAGTGATGAATTCCATTCAAATGATTGTTGCACAATGGTCCGTAGTGTCGCGATTTGATCTGTACACGATCGATCTTTACGGAATCCAGCCTGTCGGTCTCGAAGTTGGGGATCCACGGAGTCCTTCATTCTGTTTAACAATACCTTGTTGAAGACTTTTCCTGGTATTGAGAGAAGAGTGATGCTCCTGTAGCTATCACAGTTGCTGAGATCGCCTTTCTTTAGTATGTTGATCAGAAGTCCTTCCTTCCAGTCTGTTGGTACTTATTCATCGTCCCAAATCTTGCTGTAGAGACAGTTTAGTATCTTTGCAGTTACCAGGGCATTCGGGGGATTTTTTAGATACAATGTCAACAGAGATGAACATGCTTAATAGTACATGAATAATTTTAAAAGTATTATCAGAATTCATTCCTTTCTTGAAATGTACTCAGTGAAGTTTCATCTTCTTGTACCATCATTTATGCATAACATTTAACGTATTTAAATTCAATGTACTTAAACTGTTTTAAGCAACAAAAAAGTCTACGAAAATATTCATCGTAAATGGATTAAAAATTTCAAACATTCAAATTGCAATATGATATGTTTTGAATACAATTAGTTTCTTTAAAGGTGCTTCTCTGCTCTGGATTTCATAGATAATAAATTATTTTATTTTATAGAGTCTTGTATGGACATCGAATGGATCTTGTTTAGTTACCATACTTGATGGAAAATGGTTACAACAAATTGATGTAGCTACTGGGAAATCTAATGGTCTAAGTCAATTAAAGATAAATAATTCTGGTCGCGCTGTATGTTTAAAAACATCAACATGTTGTCATTTTCCTTCTCAGTACAATTTAGTAAATCAAGTTATGATCGGTGGAAGTGATACTAATTCAATTGCTTATGCTACAACTAGTAATCAAATTGTTGCACGTGATTTACGTGTGCCAAATTCTAGTTCACCTATATGGATTTTAAAACAAGACAGAAGTCATGGTAAGAAATAAACTGTAATGTGAATAATATATTTTTTAAAAGCTATAAAATTCAGTGAAAACATTGATAAATAATTAAAACAACATCGATTTAAACTATTTAGCTTTACTTACTTACTTTCTGGTTAGCGTTTTTTTAGCGAGTTAGTTTTCTACGGGATGGGGACGATAACCCCATGCCCAACCCTCCTCCTTTATCCGGGCTTGGGACCGGCAGTAGCTCTCGGAGGGACTCCAGGCGGAGTTTATTCAGCTTTGCACTGTTTTAATTTATTCCCTAGATAATATCATTTCCCATCTATTAAGGCTATATAAGAAACATGTTTAATTTCTGTTGCTCAGTAGAGTCGTTTACATATCTAACTATTAGTCATTAGGTTACAGTTTTTAATCTAATTATTAATTTCTTCATATTAGACTGATACTGTTTAATTCAGGCTAGTTGGATCAAACGTATTTGTACTTGATTACGGAAATGGATTTTTTTCTGATAAATTTCATTGAAATGAATTAAATTTTACACTACTTATCCTATAAAATGATCATTAGTAATATCATATGGCACAAATTTTATTTGATTAGAGTTAAGATTTTACCCGTGATGTAAGCTTTAGGGTATATGCTCAATGATAAATTCAGCATTTAACTTCTTATCATGAATATATTTTTTTAAGTATCTGTTCCAATTAAAATGAGCTTTCTAGTCAGTATAAATACATCTCGAGGATTATACTGATGATGTCTAGATAAAGCAATAAACGTTTTACAGTTAAACTACGCTGGCTCAGAGAACGCACTGACATCAAAACAATTCATTTGAGTTATGGTAATATTCTGGATTATCACACGTTTATTCTGAATTCATCTCTCATATTGGTTGACGTATCTTAATCGTTTCCTATATTGCATTGTAGTACATGAGGATAAGCTTGTAATGGGCCTCATCGATTTATATACACTTACTAACTAAAAGAAAGGCATGTTAAATAAATAGGTCATTGAAACTTCATCCATTGATTACCTTATATTAGCTCAGACATTTGATCATCTGTCTACATCTCTGTTTGTATACTTGTATTTGTTTATCTCATTATTTATCGGTATTTTACACATTATTTACTTTGTGTTGTCAAAATTACTCTTGATTAAATCGAGTTTGACTGTTACCAATCCTATCTGCGTGTGCTTGTCTTATAGATTGGTTTATCTGATTAAACGATTGCCCGAATTATGATTTCTCTAATAGCATTTTTAATCGGAATTTCGACTTTGCATTGCGTAAACGTAATAAGTTATTGAATGTGTACGAAATTAAACATATATATATCCGGGATCAACGAAGTATGTAGTCAATTGTTTTTTCTGTCAAGCTTTATTTTCACCCTACTGTATAACATAGGAAATGCTTAGTGAATGTGAGATGTAAACTTCATTCGGTTAGTCTGTTTTACTTGCCTTCCTGTCACCATGATAAGGCAGAATTACTCGAAATTTTGGCCTTTGGGTTCGAACCCCGTTCTTCACCACCTTTGTGAAAATCTATAAACTCTGTATAAGTACGTTCAGTTTTTTAACTTCAAAATAAAAATTTTCCCACCAGTACACTTGGATGAGTTTGGTGGTAGAGCCATAGTTTGACTTTGAACCACTGAGTCATCTGTTCTTATTCTGATTTACCTACTTTCCAATCTACAATTCACCAGCTCTTACACTATGGGTATGACTCAGAAATAATTACAAATCCTTTGTACTTGGTTAGCAAATAGGATTAGAAATTTAAGCGAATGAAACAGAAAGTTCTGGTAATATCGAAGTAGAAACTATCAGTCGATATTAATTGCTTAATGTTAATGGGAATATATTATCATGCTTTCGTAAGTTGAAAATTGTGATTTTTTGATATATTAATTAACAAATATTTTTCAACTTTTATTTAGGTTTAATACTTTCGATGGTAGTACATAGTTTTCATACATGGCTTGTTACAGGAACCAGTCGTGGGCATCTTATATGTTGGGATTTAAGATATAAACGTCAGATAGCTTATACAGAACATCCATACCAACCAGGTATAGGTATTTTAGATTTACAAATAGCTGAAACTCATTCTCGGTTTGAACTGGATAAAAAGTATGCTGGTCAAAATCTCGCTCAGTCATCCGAAAAGTCATATCAAGTAGGACAAACGTTGGTAAGTTGTTAATTTCATTTTATATATCCTGCATTATGGATGAAATATGATACATGATAAAAACTAAAAACTATTTGACCATTATCGTACTATACAAGGTCTGTGCACGGATGATGTCATGTTATATTTGTATTGCACTGCCTAAATTTGTTTTAGAGAAACATCTACATTAAGATAAAGTTACAGGGTTCTGATTTTGGGACAAACTATAAAGTTATCATGTTTCTTGTGATATGACGGTGTCCTTAGGTGAAAATATCTCCAACAAGATATTTTTCATAAATTTTGAGCAGTAAGAACTTATCCCAAGTGTTTTTTGAAATATAATTCGGAGCATTTATAAGACTGAATTTTGTCAGATTTCTCCATCAAGCAGAACTATATGATCCGCGTACTTCAAGTTGAAGATTGGATCTTTAAAGAGATGGTCGACTACTGAAAATCGAAATGTAGTGTTATTTCTAGAGAGGCATCTGTCGAACACCACTTACTATTACTAATTTAGATTACTGTTTGGCATTATCGCTGATATGATCAATAATGTTCCAGAGCAGAGCTTTCAGATGTAAAACAATTTTGACACTGATTCAAGGTACGAACACTGCCACGAGACTTCTTGGTAGACAGTGTCGCATTCAGGCTAAGTAATGACTGCAGTCGAGCGTCGGTATGCATACCTGTTTTAGAATTTTTTCAGTGTAACAACTTAACCAACACATCTACGTCCAGATCCTAAACCTTCGATCGGAACCTATTAGATAGAATTACATCCTACTGAGTTTAAATGGTAATATTGAGTCATCATACTACGATACCTCTGAAATTAATTTAGAAAGTCATAATGTTTTCTCGCTCGTTCAGGATTATTGTTTTCCCAACCTTTCTAACAACTGGTGGTTCTTACGCATATCTTTCATTGATGGGTAATGCATGTCAACTGTCTAAATTGTTAATTAAAGTGTGATTGGAATAACACCTTTCTTATTTTAGAGGCCTTATTGGTAAATAGCAGTGTACTCTACAATGTTATTTTCTTGGCTGAGAATAATACTGGTCACTGAAACACTGATTTTCTAGACGTTGGAGTTGCATCTCTTCATATGACAATCAAGGATAAGGCACAAGATGTCTTTTTGGAATTTTAAAGCTTTATTTACAGTAACCTGTAACTTCTTATAAATCTAACCTCTAAAATTTTATTTAATAGATTATTGCTGCAACCGATCATCATAATGAAGTGACAATCTGGGACTTGGAGTCCTCAGCCACAGCGTCATCATCTGCAGCTATTTCATCCTGTAATTATGGGCTCTCCGGTTCTTTCGCACCAGTTCGCAGTACAGGATGTTTAGCTTCGACGTGGGCTCAACCAGGAAATAAAACACCTCTTGTTCTTGATAGTTCTTTACCACATCGATCAGTCCGATCAATTTTGTGCCTACCTAACAACAATGTTATACCGTTTAATGAACATAACAAACCCCATTCTCAAGTTACTCATTTACCAGCTATAGTAGCCGGTGGTAATGATGCACGTTTACGGTATTGGAACTTCCGAAAACCAGAGGATTCGTGTGTTTTAGTTTGGGCTGGGATTGATGAAGCGACGCCTCCTCGACTTACCTACCGGTAAATTGGTTTTTGTCATTTTATATTCAGTGACACAGTGACATTCATTTAAGATGAACTTATATCCAGGACGCTGATTCTGTACTCCTTAAAATAATTTAACCAATCCCTCTGGATTTTAAAAAATCCGAAAATCAGCTCTATGAAAGCATTTTTAATTGTTCAATTCTAATTTCGCCTTGAGTTAGACTGAACGTCACTCCAGAACTTTAAGTAGAGAAATAGCTACAAGTAAGGTAATAAATATACATTATCAAAGGTGTAATCTCGTCTGATTTGTTCCGAATGTTTTGCCTTTCTCACTATCCGTTTGGAACCACGATTCATAAGTGGGGGTTAAGTCATCGAAGCTTAGTTATGATATAGGGTTCCATACACTATAATGTAAAAACTGATTACTAAATCATAGTACTTTAATAGTATGCTACAGTTTACTTGAATAGAAGCCCATAATTGGTTGAGTTGTTTACACGAGTTGAAATCCCCATATCGAAATTGTGCTTATCGTAATGACTAAACAAAACCAACACATTCGTTTTCCGTATCGATATTCTTCAATTCACTTGCGAACTTCTACTCTGCTTTGCTGTACTGTTTAGCTAAATTTATGAACTAGTGATTTAATAGTACCAAATACTATATCCACTAAGCAATCTATGTAACACTGGAGATCTATTGATGGAAATGATAATTTGGTACGCATTAGCTTTGGCTAATAAATCACAAACCAGTTGGCGATAGTACTGTTGCAATTCGTCTTAAAAATGTTCTTACTGTTTGTGTAAAATAAGACAGAAAATGTGGATAGTTTTGAAAAAAATATTTATCATCAATAATGGGATGTAAACTATTTCACTAAAAGTTGACCTGAATGGAGTAACATTGTCATTCAATAGTTAGAATCAACATGAAGCCTGAGACAAATATTCATAAGCTCAAATTGTCATACCCCACTAGCACGACAAAATGATTAGTGACGAGTCATGTTATTGTAGTTTCAGTTTTATTGAAAAATACTAAATACTGAGAATTTGGCTCGAAAAACAGGATATAGAGGTATGTATAAATGAGTAATACTAGGACCAGAAATCTTGGGTAAGATAAAGAGCTAGTGGATCTGAACCACTGTGATAGGTTCTGAGCTATGTCAGCCAACGTCTTCAGCCACAGTGATTGCGGTTACCGTGTGCACCTTATCCAAGTAGTCTGCATCTACTAGCGTGATTTAGACCAAGACTCATTGAATTTATAGACTGGTGTCAGTATTTTTATTTTGCCACCCTCCTAACCGAGATGACAAATAACCTAATTTTTTCAACAACAAAAAATGTTTCTACATAACTATACTTTCATTGTCACACAGGAAGTGAACTAATACCATATATATGTATTTCTTTTAAAAAAGCTTTCCAAAAAAATTGATCATTTTCTTCTATTGTTAATAGGTCAACATATGTAAATGATGTCTATGTTTTGATTGAACAAACTGATACTTCTTCCGTTAGTGATACATCAAGTAGTTTGTTAACAAAAACAATGTACACAGAAATATCACAAAAATTACAATCATCAAGTAATATAACAGAAGTATCAAATAGTGCATTCCCTGTGTCAGGACGTTTAGAATTACGTGAATCAACTAAAGGACATAAGAATATTATATCTGATTTAACTGTTCTTCAAGCAGGTCAAGCATTTCTAGTCTCTGCTTCAATGGATGGTGTAATAAAAATTTGGCGATAATATATATACTAATCATCGAATTTATTCATAAAGTATTTTCTTATTAATTGATTTCACTAATTTATTAATTAATATAAATTGTGATTATGGTGATAATAGAACAACTTTTACTTGTACACCATTTTATTTTACATATTTTATAACATAAATGAAACAACCTTGCAAATATTGTTTAAATATCGGTTATTAAAATTTAAAGTTGTGTACGTTTGTCAAAACTTTAATTATTTTTATTAAAGTTGTTATAAAGAATTTTGAACACCAATATTTAAGCGTTAATTTCGATTTGGTTTTAACCGAAAAAGACAAAACAACATACCAAATTGTTACATATATAACATTATAGGATTATGATTCACAGAAACGATTTGTTTTAATTTCGAACTGAATAACAATATAAATAAACAAGTGAATTAAAGAAAGATGTTTACATACATATAAATTTGTACAAAATAAAGAAAATAAGAAATCAAAGTGTGTTGTTTTTTGCCTAAACCAAAGGGGTTTTTTATATTACCGCTTTAATGCTAAAAGAACCATATAATCACTTGTTGTTGCCAAGTCTGAACTTAAGCAAGGTGCTGCTTGTTTTAATAAACTTAATGCAAAACTACTTGGTGCAAATAAATATACTATCAAAGATGAACGTCGTGTTGTAGTTGTTTTCTCGGAACTAGTATTCAATGATTCTTGTAGTACTTTTTCTTCATTTGGACAGATTATACCAGCTGATTGTTTTAATTTTAAATAAGCAATTAAAGTGTGTAGTGAAAAACAATGACTTATTGTTGTTTTTACATCCGTACTTTCAGTATTCGACTGATTATTCAGTTTAGATTCCTTGTCCAGATACTTATTAGTTTGCTCCATATCGGGTAATATTAGCATGAGGCATAAATTATGACGAACTGTAGATAGTACATTATGAATACGATGCGTGGCTTCAGCCATCCATGAAGCATCAAGAGTGCCTCGGCGTGAAATACGTAAAGTCGGACTGCATAGTCGTTCGGAATTACTGTTATTGTCTTTATAATCCAGTAAGTCTTGACTGATATCTTTATTACCTATTAACATCAAACAACGAAAATAAAAATGGTTATTTTTTAATAAGAACTTTCCTTTCCATAAATCCGGTTGTAGATGCTGGTCTAGTTCTTGGAGAGTGACGATTGATTTCAGGTTACACGGAATATCTTCTACTGGATTGAGTATACCGTGGTTGTCCGAGTAGCGAGGTGTGTTCCGATTATATGTGTGATACCGATTAGATATATGAAAAGATGGTTTTGCATAAGGTAAGTGTCGTACATTAGTGAGATTTTTATCACCGGCGTGATCCTCTATGCAATACTGGTTCATCGTGTACGGCCCTCCATCAAAATGTTCATTTGTTCGAATACGATAGTTATTTGCAGTTACAGGAATTCCAGTATCAGACCTAATTATAGCATTTCGTGATTCTGACATTTGATTGTCCTGACTGTCACTTTCCATGTTCGAGTCCGTCTTGTTTAAAATCTGTGGCTTTGGCTGGATTAATTCCGGGTTTATAAAATCTACACGAAGTCTTAAATTTGGACGACTGGTTGCTGAGAGACTTTTTAATTGTCTATTAGCTTCGAGTGCTGATTCACAGCTGTCATAAATGGCGATTGCATATTTACGTCTAGGAGACCAGTCAAGATAAGTTAGTTGTCCAAAACGAGAAAGCATACGCTGCAGTGAATCAGCGGAAGGCCAAGATTCTAACCCACCAATATACAGACAGTGCGATGGAATCGCTTTACCATAGCCTATCTTGCAATGTAAGGATCTAATAAAACGACCAGACATGGACATTTTTGCACGACTGGCCATATCAACATTCTGAAAGCGTACAAATGCGTAAGAATGGGCACCAGGTTTCGGAGAACGCTTAATATCAATTTGTTCAACATAACCATACCTCTCAAAAGCTGAGAGTACCTCTTTTTCCGTTATGTCTGGTTCTAAACTTCCAACAAACAAAGTCCTTGTGGCTTTCGACTCCTTTTCTGAATCAGATGCTCCAGGAGAGAATCCACTTCTGTTATGTTCATAGTGTCGAAGGTTTGCAGAGCCAAAGCGATTGTGAGAAGTGATTGCATTTAACTGTGCAGGTGGCAACACCCCAGGGACAGCATTCAGACCAAGAGCCTTTGCAGCAGCAGCCATCATGGCAGAAGATGTCATTCCAGGCATACCAAGTAGGCTTGTAGTACCTGATGAACCTAGTGGAGTTGGTTTAGGTAAAAAATCAGGAAAAGCGGACTCTACTTTGCCGGGAATATTGTGCATAAGATGTCGCCGGTCATTAATATCTTCTGCTTCCATTCCTTCTTGACGTTTTTTGCTGGCAATTACTTTACGCGTATCACCTTCACTAGAAATATCAATTAATGAGGTAACATTTGCAGGACGATCAAGTATGTAAATTATTGGGCTATCACAAAGAGCTTCTTGTGCGTCTTCAGAATATCTGAAGATAAAAAGTTAATAATACATGACACTGGAAAATAGTGATAACAGTTTTCATAACAATAAACTAATAACAAGTAATTATATCTATTCTGGGACGTTATATGAAGCGTAATTTATGTTATGCATAAGTTCAATTTATACTTCGAGTTTTGTGCCGAGAATCGCGTATTAAATTCTTGAAATCCTTATTCACATCAGTCCATTTGTGACTCGTAAAGAAAACATGTATGATTAGTTAACACACGCCTTACTGAATTTTAAGCCTTCAGGCATTACATACATTATCTTTTATAATTATGGCTTATTTAGCAAACGAATGTTCCGAAGCTTCGTACCATGATTGTTTGCAGTCGTAACTGTAGTACGACCAGTGGAATTATCCTATAACTTTAAAAGTACTTACACTAGTTATTCAACTCTTCAAATCTGACTTGTATTGATATTCAGCAGGTTACATTTTTAATCAAGTACAGGTTTATATACTTATTTTCAAATCACACTTCCTGTGTGGCGAATACCGATAATACCTGGCTGTTTAAATTAAAGTAGCTAAAGCGTGGTCGAGATGAACAACCTTATGGCTGACTAATAAAGCATTTTACGTACACCGGCTCAGTCTACTACAAGCGATGTTGGTTGAAGTAAAATCATTGGAAAAGGATTAAAAGTAGGCAGAACAAGACAGGGTGGCGACCTGTGAAATCACTGTCTCGCTCTCAAATTTAAGAGGGGTGACAGGAACTAGTGGTTTTAGAGCCTAGGTGACAAACCGCAAACCGTTTATAGTGGTCTGGATACCTTAACTCTTTATCTTCGACATACTAAACATTCCAAGTTTAGATATTTTTCGCTTTTAGCCCATAATTTTTGTGTAGGTATGTATTTTATTTCCTCCTCATTTGCTCTTTCAGTCATGGGTGCAATGATGTGTTTTTGAAGTTCTCCTCTTATGAATAAGTCTATCTTGCTTGTTACAAAAGTAAAAAAAAAAAACTAGTAATGAAATATCGGGATAGATCTGGAAAGTAGCTGATTTGCAATTACTTTATCTAATTGTATTATCAAAGGGATATTCACTTGGCTAATTCAATCCGAATGACGAGTCGAATAATCATTGTACAGTAGCTCATTTCATGACAAAATATCTCTATCCTGATTACGCACTAATGAATGACACAGTAAGTTTATTAACACGTATAAGGCATGCATGAAATAAGAAGTTGGATGTGTGTTTGTTATTTCAGGAGAAGCATCATGCTTTGATTAGCTATCGAAGTATCTTAAAAGGAATCTGTAAAGTGGTAGCTTGACGCTTAGGGTGTTTGACTCTCAACCAATAAAAAACTTGTTCAGGCTTCAGTTTTGTTACTTCGATTTGTACAACTAGGTAGTATAACTATAGCTTTAGCAAAGTATGGCTTAAAGCCAAATAAATAAAATTGTTCTTGATAAATGAGTTTCAAATGAATTGATTTAAGAAATTTAATCAGCTCAAAGTTTATCACCAAACTCATCGTGGTTTAATCCTAAAACTAAATTAATTTTCTAATCCAAGATTGAACAAAGTTTAACAATACACCTACGTTATAAAAGGCTCCTTGGACCAGTGTTACTAAAGTAGTACAGAAACGAAAAAAAACTCCGTCAAAAACAATGTAGATTCAGAATAATGTTTAGAAAAACACTGTTTGTTTATGTGAATTAATTAATGTGTACCTGAAAAACTTACTGATATGTAACCAGAGCGACGCGTTCGCCACCCAAATGCCCAACATTGATAGAAAGGTCTCCATACTTTCCTAGTTCCCGGTACACACATTGTTCAACAACATCAGCACTCAACTTGGATGAAATGTTTCTTACACATATAGTTCTAGAATGATCTAACCCATGAGTTCTTCCTTCCGAATTCTTCGGTCTTGAAGAATGTCTATTTGAGAGAGAATACTTAGACCTCGAACTAGGAGAGCCTCGAGATACCGATCGATGTCTCTCTGAATATCCTGATCGATCTCTGTGTCGCTTCGAGGGAGGCGAGAAGTCTTGATCTCCATGTCTTCGCATCGCACTAAGGCCTAAATCAGAATAGACACAGATATGAGGTAAGTTAGGAGAACATAGTGGTATAGCAACTAATAATAATAAATTGAAGACACCTAACTGCTTCAAGATAGCCAGTGGATTTATCCTGGCTTTTGAAAAGCACTTAAATAACAAGTATATAATGCGTTTAAATTGCCGACTACAGTAGTTGCTTGGATAGTGATGCGAGAGCCAACAAGATACATTCCAAACTAACGATATTAATGAGTGGGAGGCACATCACTATAGCCGTCACTGTAGGTTAATAATATGAAAGATTAATTACGTAGACAAAATGACTACATGATTTATTTATTACCATCTATCAAGAGTGGAAAAGAAGCAGGACCAGACAACATACCAGCTGAAGTACTGAAGTCAAACAAGGAAGTGAAGAGGAGCATTAGAGCCGATAACCAGAAATATGCGGAAGACCTAGCAACGACAGCAGAAATAGCTGCAAGATAAGGAAATATGAAACAACTACATGACACAATGAAGAAACTAGCAGGGAAATATAGCAAACCAGAGAGATCGATCGAGGACAAACAAGGCAAGACAATCACCGAAATTCGAGAACGGAGGAACAGATGGATAGTATAATACTTCGAAAAACTTGAATAGGCGAGCCCCATTAAATACACCAGATATCGAAGCAGCACCTACAGACCTTCAACAACAGAAGAAATCATCAGACAAATCAAAAGCGTTAAAACAGCAGGACCTGACACTATGCCAGCCGAGGCACTAAAGTCAGACATATAAGTAACTGCAAACATGCTCAACGTTCCATCTAGAAAGATTTGGGAGGAATGATGAGTGCCGACAGACTGGGAAGAATATCTCATAAAGATACCAAAACATGGAGATTTCAGGAAGTATATGAACTACAGAGGCACCATACTACTATCAATACCGGGGAAATTTTTCAAGTGTTGTAGAACCGAATGAAAGAATCATTATATGCCCAGGTTCCAGATCAACAAGCTGAATTCTGTATTTAATTCTAGCAGAATATCTGTAAGACAAATTAAATCCTACAATATCTATTTCGAGTTAGTTTGTTGATAAATTTTTGAGAACTCGTCTATTAAATGAGAAGCATTATTAAGGAACGATGATAATACAGTTAAACATAAACTCTGGCTGGGTGATTCATTTACCCCAAAAACAGTTCAAATATAGTGTTTTTCCAGGACGCGCAACTTGCCACTTGGTGAGTAGCCCCAGTAGTCAGATCCTTTGACAATATTAAACAACGTAATAATGGGTAGTTTAATAATATGTGAGATACGTCGCCTGGGGACTGTTTAGGATTACTGCCCATCCCAAGACTGCTTAAAGCAGGGTTGGGTTAGAGTTAGTAAACTCACTTTGTGAGACTTCTGTGGAAAAGATAATCAGAGGTGAACAATATAACTCTGCCCTGAGAGTTGAAAGGGCTTTATGTAGAAACTATAATCCCTCTTATGCTGAAAGCCGGAAATCTCCGGAAGTCACAAGCCCAACTCCCCTTTTGACAACCACGGAAATAATAAAAATAAATATATGAAATGTCCGAAAATCGTGGGGCGCCATGACGGCCCTTCAAGAATTGGCACAATTAAAATAAAATCTGGCCGTATTTGGAATAGACGACTCTAACCAAGCTGGACAAAAAAGACGGACTTTAGGAAAGCGGTTATTGTACTCCAGTCACGAAGAGGGAAACGCGCCACATACAAAAGTAGATGTACTAAGGCAAATTCACGACAGATCTCAGCAACAAGTCCTACAAGATTTACCAGAAGAGAAAACCGCTATAGAGAGCTTCCATAAACCGATTAAGAGTGAAATATTTCCAGCATACCAGCGAGTCCTGGACGCCAAAATACACTAGTATAAAGAATAAATTTCTGTAGAAAAACTGGGTATTATGAACAAGGAAATATAGCTTTACTTTGAGCCCAAAGACTCAAAGAATGTTTTGAAACGTGAAATAAAGTGGTAAAAAATAAGTGCTAGGATTCAAGATACAAAGATAAGGATTAAATGTCCCTGCACTACAATGGCCTTTTCTGACCCAAGTCACATAATACAAAGCTTGATATGATTGAATTTATTTTCTATTGTCTCATATGTACCACTATATATGGTGGACAAGTGTACTTAAATACCCTGGTACGGCCGAATGGGGAAAGTTTCGAAATGCCCTTACATGGTCATGTGTATACAGCCACTAACAGGGAAGTCCTAATCACTGCCTTCTCTCGGCAAGGGTGTTGTTTACGAAATTTAAAGGACGAAAAGCGAATGTTCGGCGCTTTAACCGGTTTGGTGGGTACGGAGGATCCACCTAGGGGAGTTAAAAAACCCTGATTCCAAACCAGTGATGTACATGGGCTTCAGGATCCTGAAGGGACAAATGGTTTATGAGCCTATTGTTGGTCACCGGCTACCATGGGACTGCATCTGCTAACGTTGCTTCAGTGTCTTGTGGGTTAGATCTGTAGGTCGGAGGCTGGAGGAGAGGCCACTTGATAAAACCACCTGCTTCGGTTTGAGCGACCAAACAGTGTCCCAACCCCCATACAAATCAAACGGTGGTGTGGCGCATATCTATTTGGTATCTCCTTGTACCAATGTTTGTGTTCAAATAAATAAACAAATAAAATGGACACTAGTTACTTTGAGTACATAATGTACATGTGTTTTGTGAACTTAACCACAATCCTATAAGTTAATATGAAATCTCAAAACTAAATTAGACGGTGGCATGCCTACCAACGAGGCCAGGTGTGTCTACATGTAAAATTGCGGACATAACGGTTAATAGATGCAGCATAGGAGAAGTGTCACTTCCGCAGTTCGGTCTCACAATTATATTGGGATAACAATCAACCATGATCTTAAGACTACGGCCCACTAGAGCGTGTTTGCAGCTAAGAGGTTTACAACAACATAGGCTCTAAGACAGACATTTGCCAAGTTGGATACTTATATGTTCATTACAGTATACATAACCTTAATGAGATGCAAACTTGAAAACTGCGTTTACGCTTTAAACCCCTGTTTGAAAGATGACTTGTATGCACCAAAAAAAGTACAGAGGGTAGATACCCGTGGAAGTCCATCAATTTTCGGGACCTGTTACCCGAAGTGGTGTCCACCTCTTCAAATGACTCATCCAAAAAAAGACTAGACACTCTCAGCAGCTTTCTAGAAAGGCACTAACATAGGCTGTATGGGGTTATATCCTTACCATACAAACCTGAGTCTCAGATCTGACCTGAGCGACTAATAGGATGACCTTCAGTTGCTCTAACCCGCCGATCGAAAAATAGCAAGGATGAATAGACTAATATGTTGAAAAGTGTTAGAAACGTGAGGATAAATAATTTCAAAATTCTGACAGCTTGTATTTTCTCGGAAACGTTATTGGCAGTGTTAGTCGGCGAGCCAACAGCTGGTAACGTTCAGCCAAACACCACTGAGAATTAACCGCGAGTAAGTCAGTAAGCTAGTAAGTCACACCATTCTTCTCCAGCTGAAATAGTCCTAGCACAACCACAAAGGTACTTCACGTTAGCGATATATTAACTTGAAAGTATTACTGAGCAATGATCTCGAAATCAATTAAACCTGAGGTCAACGTCGATTAGATGCTATGCACATTACAACAAAATATTGATGTCCTGTAGTGTGTAAAATCCAAACCGACTAGTGGTGTATTCAAAAATAATCAGGTGTGTGTTCTCAGCTGTGTTTTTCAACTATGAATTTGTAGGACCAAGGAAGTGTCACTGGGTTTTAGTCAAATCATCTCGCGGTCAGGTAGTGAGGATGGTTGCCATTTATTTTACAATGCTTACTATCCACTTTGCATTTACGGTTTTCTGTCATGGTATCCACTACCCGACATTCTTATAACGCGTACATCACCCTGATTTCGTTTTCCATTTACTTACATGCAATTCGGGTTCTGCGAATGCCTAAACGGTCTACAGAAATCCCCACAAACCCTACCATATTCTCCATATATATTTTTTCCTTAATCATCAAGCTATTACACTAATAATACCCAAACAAACATTCAAAGCAGCAGTCAGTATATATAACATCATCGTTATTTTGCCGCAGCGTTAAGAAATGTAACGGAAAAACAGTAAACATTTAACTTTAATGTCGCACTTTTTGTAGTTTGCGCAAAAGAATCTATGAAACTCAAAACGTTAAACTTTGCATCAAGTGGCTATATATTTTGGCATCACGACTCACAAACATACCACGTTACCCATCATAAAATGCTGGTTTAGCATACTCATTATGCGCACGAATACGAAGACTTAAGTGGCTCATAACATCTAAAACACCACTGAATGTTTTCGACACACTAACCACTCGTTGACAGTATATTAGTTAATTCTCCAACATCACAATATGCAGTATAACATTAAATATGGTCGGTACGGTCGACATTGTAGTGTCGTGTCGAGTCACGTTTGACTATAACCACCACTACAAGACGACTGCTTACCAGAATAGGCTAAACCTCCGAGTAAACCAGGAATCAAAAAGACGTTGATGGCTGTAGTCAATATATATTTGTTGGGGATCTCGTGGTATCAAAGAAATACCAAGATCATGCCAAAGGAATACAAGTGGGACTATTGAGCAAACGAAGTGCGTGCAAAGTCACAAGCAACGGAAGAATGTACATTCTTAGTACAGTTAAGCAAACAGTTACAGTATAACAATCCCTGGTACAATTGGTTATGATAGTAATTATTTTCATTACACTAATCGCGTTTTGTTGATAAAAATAGGTCACTACACTATAATCATAAAAAACACTATCCATCAAACAACCTATATAATTGTTTATTACGCGGTGCATTGTTCCCTTGTGGCTGTTACGTAGATGATTACGGTACACGAATTAGCTGTTCAAATAATTGAGGAATCACAACCTTTTCAGTTCATTTGGTAGTCTGATGAAATTC